ATAGTTGTTCAACTATAGTTGATGCCACAGAGATTTGTTTGTAAGTCACAAACAAAAAAACCTTGAAATTTCCTGACTTGAATATGAACCTTAGCCTTCTTTTGTGAGATTTCCCTGTGGTTGGTCAGTTGCCTAGGTAAGGAGAAGATTGACAGTTTGTTCTTTTAGTCAACAAGCCTATGGTTCAAGGTGTCATTTAAGGACAGTAATCTAGAGAAAAAATGAACAACACTGGAACTAAGGCGCACTGAAGCTAGAGCAGGTTAGATAACTATAAGTTAGAATTTGGTAGTACATGTAACTTTTTGGAGGTACTAAGGGTGTTGATGTTTGGACAGTTCAGAATACGAGATCATTTTCCCTTGCCCGAGTTTTGAACTGACTGAGAAAATAAGAACCTTCAGATGAAAAAGCAAGACAATATCTTTAAAAAAAAAATTAGCTTTTTATTCAGGTAAAAATCATGTACTGTAAAGTTCACCATTTTGAAGTGTACAATTCAGTAATTTTTTTTTTTTTTTTTTTTGAAAGACGGAGTCTCTCTCTGTCGCCCAGGCTGAAGTGCAGTGGCGTGATCTCAGCTCACCACAACCTCTGCCTCCCGAGTTCAAGCGATTCTCCTGCCTTAGCCTCCTGAGTAGCTGGAATTACAGTGCCACCACACCTAGCTAATTTTTGTATTTTTAGTAGAGATGGGGTTTCACCATGTTGGTGAGGCTGGTCTTAAACTCCTGACCTTGTGATCCGCCCGCCTCAGCCTCCCAAAGTGCTGAGATTATAGGCATGAGCCACCGCACTCAGCCCAGTAGTTTTTAATACATTCACAAGGTTGTGCAACCATTACCACTACCAGTCAGGCCATTTTCATCACTGTAAAAAGAAACCTCTTAGCAGTCATTTCCTATCTGCAAACCCCCTCTACCCCCTGCTTTTCCCCCATCTCTTGGCAACCACCAATCTACTTTCCATTTTTATAGATTTGCCTATTCTGGACATTTCGTATAAATGGAATCATACAACATGTGGTCTCTTGTGTCTTTTTCACTTAGCATAAAGCTTTCAAGGTTCATCCATGTTGTAGCATATAAAAGTACTTCATTCCTTTTCATGGCTCAATAAAGTTCCATTGTATATTATATGGCTATTACTTAGATAAACCATATTTTTATCCATTTATCAGTTGAGAGACATTTGGGTTATTTTCACTTTTGGCTATTATGAGTAATGCTGCACATTTGTGTGCAAATGATCATTTCTGTGCAAACGATCATTTCTGTGCATGTTTTTGTAGGAACATACAAATTGTCTTGGAGATATATATGTGTATAATTGCTGGTTTTATGGTAACTCTGTTTAACTTTCAAAGGAGTTGCCTTTGTTTTTGATAAAACCTATATTGTAGAACATGACTTAGGTTTTAGCCAAGTGAGTTGGCTAACTCTCCGCAGTGCCTCATCCCTGCCTATCAATGGGACAGTTCACCCTAGAGGATGTTTGGGTCAGCAGAGCGGACACACTCAGATCGTTGCCTTATAGAATCCTGAATGAAGAGGGAAGAGAAAGAAACTGAGGGCTGGGTATAGTGGCTCAGACCTGTAATCCCAGCACTTTGGTATCCCAGCTGAGGCAGGTGGATCACCTGAGGTCAGAAGTTCAAGATCGGCTTGACCAACATGGTGAAACCCTGTCTCTACTAAATACAAAAAATTAGCCAGACATGGTGGTGCATGCCTGTAATCCCAGCTACTTGAGAGGCTGAGACAGGAGAATTGCTCGAACTCGGCAGGCGGAGGTTGCAGTGAGCCGAGATGGTACCATTGCACTCCTGCCTGGGCAGCAAGAGTGAAAAGTCTGTCTCAAATAAAGAAAAAGAGTCTGAGCCCCTGGTGCTCAGTTCTTAAGTTAGCTCTGTGTATTGACCAATTTACCTCTTTGAAGAGGAATGAGCTAAGAGGCCAGGAGTGTTTACTGAAGTAATTCCTCATAGCGACTAAGAGTTGGAAAAAATCACTCTGTTCTAACAAAGAGTAAGAGTTAAGCTAAGAAACCTGAAAGCCATTCGCAGATAAAAAGGCTGTGCCATTTTATCCAGGTAGGAAGTATATTAAGGGAAGATGATGAATTCAGTTTTAAACATGGTAAATTTGGGATTTCCGGGAGGGAATGATGGATATTTGTTTGGAGATCAGGAGATTGATCTCTGCTAGACATGAAGATTGAGGTCTATCTGTCTATAGGCAATTAAAATACAGGACTAGGTAGATCATACATAAAACAGTAGAGAAAGATGTCTAGTAATTTTTTTTTTAAATGAAGCTGCTCTGCTGTGTACAAAACCCTGACCCAGAAGCAGGTCGTCTGTGAGTGGTTTAGCACCAGCTTCCCCACAAAAGTGTGTTGCATGGCAGCCGAGGGGACAGCTGCCTTTCCAGCCACATCCCATTTCCAAGGACAAGGGGCTGTCTGCACTGGGCTCAAGGATGTCTAGTAATTCTTATATCTGAATTCCTTGTGTTTTTATTGTGCTAACTGATGTTTCTGCTGTATTTTGCTATGAGTGGCTGATTTCCTTCTGGGTTTTGTGATTTTTTAATTATGTTTGAGATCTTACCTGTGGGAATTTTTCCAGGCTTAGATCAAAGGTGATTTCCTCCAGAGATAACATGCATTTGCTTCTGTCAAGATTGGGTTGGGGATACAACCATCCTAGGGCTACCCTAAACAAAATTCTAAATATGAAGCTGTTTTTTTTTTTTTTTTTTAATTTTTTTCTGAGACAGAGTTTCACTCTTGACTCTTGTTGCTTAGGCTGGAGTGCAATAGCATCATCTCAACCAGTTGTAACCTCCATCTCCTGGATTGAAGCGATTATCCTGTCTCAGCCTCCCGAATAGCTGGGATTACAGGTGCATGCCCCCATGCCTGGCTAATTTTTTTGTATTTTTAGTAGAGGCGGGGTTTCATCATATTGGTCAGGATGGTCTGACCTCAGGTGATCTGTCCGCCTCGGCCTCCCAAAGTGCTGGGATTACAGATGTGAGCCACCGCACCTGGCTGGTATGAAGCTTTCAAAACCATAATCTAGGGGAAGATCAGCTTGTGGTTATGAAATATCAGGGAAGACACCCTTGCACTGCTGTCACAGTCCCTGATCCCCTCCCAGCACTCAGTGCTCAGGTTAAAAAAGCAGTTTTCCTGGCAGTTAAGACCTGAACATTGTTGCGTCTTGTACCTTACTGCTGTCATAGTCCTGGATCCCCTCACCAGCCCTAAGTGCCAAGATTAAAAAGGCAGTGTTCTCCGCGATTCTCTTGGTTAAGACCTGAACATTGTTCTATTTTGTACATTGGGTCCCACCAGGTTTTGGAATTGCAAGCCAGAATTTATAGTGCTTGGCATAATGCCTTAAAGGTAAAGGAATGCTGATATCAGTACTCTGCATACCTTTCTAGTTTCTACTCTTTCACTTAGTTTTTGGGCTCTGATCATACCTCATTTTCTGTCAAGTTTTTGATTCATTTGTAAAGATTTTAAAATATTTTACTCAGCGTTTTGGTTATTTTCGCTGGGTACGGAGATCAAGCCGTCCATCCTGTTGTTCTGGCAGAGACGGACACTTCTCAGAGACAGAAGTGTCTGTCTCTGCCAGAAGTGTCTGTGTCTGCCACAAGTTATGCACGGATAATCATTAGATGCAGGAGCTTCAATCACCTTCTAAACCAAAGATTACAAACTTGAAGCAAAATCCAGTTTTTGTTTTGCTCATGTAGTATTTAGGAAATGAAAATCAAGGCCAAGTACAGTGGCTCATGCCTGTAAACTCAGCACTTTGGGAGGCCGAGGCAGGAGGATTGCTTGAGCCCAGGAGTTCAACACCAGCCTGGGCAACATAGACCAGACCCCATCTGTATTTTTTTAAAAAGTTTAACAACAAAAAAAAAAAAATCAAGAGATTTCAAATAAAATTTTGGATTTTTTTGTTTCTTTTGAAAAATTGGAAGTTCTCAAATGCTGGACCTATAATACTGCTGCCTGGCAACAATTGACTAGAACCAGGAATAGCCCTGATCCCTTCAGACTGAACATGCTCTCTTTCATTGCTCAGTTTCTGCCACTTGTGGAATGTATGCATATGTATACACTTATACCCATTTTACCGTATCTCATTTATGTTACCATTAGGCATTTGTGGACCATCTTTCTGCCTAATGAAAATATTGATACTTTCCCATGTGCTCCTTAGTAGTGCTGACAGATACTTTTACATTTGTTGATTTACATAATTCTAACAAGCTTGCAGTTTATCTCCTCTGAATAAAGTTGTATAGTTGGTACTAGCCCCACATTGCAGATGAAGAAACTGATGTTCATTGAAGTTATATAATTTCTTTAAGGTCTAAATAGTGCCACAGTTAGAATTTGAACCTAAAACCTAGAATTTGAATTCAAAGCTCCTTCTGTTTCAGTGCTGTCTTTACTACTACCATTGCTACTAGTACTTTTTTTTTTTTTTTTTTTAAAGCAAAGAAACTGTCTTTGTGAAGTCCAGTATTTAAAACCAATAAAGGTAGTACTGTTTTGATGGAAGAATAGATTTGATGGGGCACTTATGTGGGAGTTGGAACCTTGCATGCTCAACTGTGCTTTTGGGCACCTCTCTAGAATCCCTAGGACTCTACTAAAAACAGTTTGGACACTCTGTAACATAGCCATAATCATTTGCTAAATCCTATGAAGTCTCAGCTTCTTTGAATGTTACAGTTACAGTGTATCTATTTCTCTTATGCTTCCTGATATGTCTGTCTGCAGCCTGATGTGTCTGAGTATAATCCCTCTTGTGACTCAGTAACATTTTTCTTTTCATGTATGTGTTCTGATAAGGGTGATTCTTTTAGCATCCTACTTACTGTTTTCAGAGTGTTTTACTATAGCTCTGAAGTGAGATATGTGGTTTAATTTACCTTGCAGCATCTGATAACTAACTCTTCTTTACTTTTCAGATTCTCTTCGTGGCCAGATGGGTTTGTATGGACAGGCTTGTCCATCTGTAACTTCTTTAAGGTGAGTGCTCTCTTTTTTTTTTCTTTACTGGGACATGTAACATTTTAAAAGTTAGACTGGTCACCTCATATTACAATGAATTTCAGGGTGAGATTCAGAATAAAATATTGTAGCTTGTTTTGTCAAGTAGTGCAGTTTGGCAGAATGGAGTGATATTTCTGCTTACTGAGATTTTTGTGGTAATGGGATTTGGATCTGCTTTTAATCTCCATTTAGTGAGCTAAATAGTGTGGTGATAATTTGGATATGCTTTTAATCTCCATAGAGTGAACTAAATAGTGTGGTGAACTAAATAGTGTGGTGATAATTTGTACATGAAACAGCATAATTAACACTTCTTTGTTGTTCTTTTAAAAAAACTAATATGGGCCAGGTGTTATGGCTCACACCTGTAATCCCAGCACTTTGGGAGGCTGAGGTGAGTGGATCACCTGAGGTCAGGAGTTCAAGACCAGCCTGGCCAACATGGTGAAACCCCGTCTCTACTAACAAAAAAAAATTAGCCAGGCGTGGAGGCGCACACCTGTAAATCCCACCTACTTAGGAGGCTGAGGCAGGAGAATCCCTTGAACCTGGGAGGTGGAGGTTATGGTGAGCTGAGATTGTGCCACTGCACTCCAACCTGAGTGACAGAGCGAGACTCCATCTGAAAAACAAGAGCAACAACAACAACAAACTAATTTGCTTTCTACTCAGTTTAATTGGAACATAGTGAATTTTGATTAATAAGTCTGAAGGTACTAATTTTAATTTTTTTTTTTTTTTTGAGATGGAGTCTTGCTCTGTTGCCAGGCTGGAGTGCAGTGGCGTAATCTTAGCTCACTGTAACCTCCGCCTCCTGGGTTCAAGCAATTCTTCTGCCTCAGCCTCCTGAGTAGCTGGGGCCACGGGTGCATGCTACCACGCCTGGCTAATTTTTGTATTTTTAGTAGAGATGGGGTTCACCATGTTGCCAGGATGGTCTCGATCTCTTGACCTCGTGATCTACCCACCTCGGCTTCCCAAAGTGCTGAGATTACGGGCGTGAGCCACCTTGCCTGGCCACTAATTTTAATTTCTTCCTAAGGGATGGTAAAAACATAATATCTAGATTTCTCTCGTTTACAATAAATGAAACATGAGAAATGTAAAAACTAGAAACTGTGTTGTTGTGTACAACCCAGTGGTTTCAGATTTTTGAAGTCATCAGATCAGTTTTGCCAATCAATTCATATGTAAAGTCAAATTAGTAAAGCAGATAAATATATGACTCTTTGCCTAGCTTAGGCTTCCATGTTCTACCCTCACAGTGGCCCCTGAGGAATTGTCATGGTATCCAGAGTGAAAAATAACCTAAACCTAATCTGTTGATTGAAATCTTAGATTAGAATATGAAGCATAGATGGCAGGACCTACTAGTTACAGGATATGATGTTGCAGTCAACCATATCATTTATTCATCAAGCATATTGAGCATCTACTGTTGTCAGGCACTATTCTAAATGTTGGGGCATAGCAATGAGCATAACATTTAAAAATCCTATAATCATGCAGTTTATATTTTGATGGGGGGACAGTTAATAAACAAGATAGGATAAATATCTGTTAATGATATGATAAGGGTTAAGGAGAAAAATAGAGAAGGAGAATAGGAAATAATAGGAGTAAGGAGTATGTGTTATTTTAAGACAGGCTAGTCCTAAGAGAAGGCTTCACTGAAAAGGTGACATTTGAATGAAGATCTCAAAGTGTGATAGAGTGAGCCATGTATTGGGTAAGTGGTAGTTGAGCATTCTTTAGGCAGAGGGAGTGCAGGAAGGGCCAAGGCAGGAGGCTGTCTTGTATGTTTGAGGAGCAATGGAGGAGGTCATTGTGGTTGGAGCACCACAGATGATGAAGAGTTGTAATTGCCCAGCTTTGGAGGGCAGAAGGAGAAAGAGGAGAAATACAAAATTGCCAGAGCCGTGATTGGGAAGTCAAGGAATCCTTAGGCTTGAGAGAAATCCTGGTTTTCCAGAAACACACACACACACACACACACACACACACACACACACACACACACTCTCTCTCTCTCTCTCTCTCTCTCTCTCTCTCTCTCTCTCTCACACTCACACTCACACTGAACAATGACGTTACCTTTGTAGTTTTTATGTACTTGAGTTTTCACAAGTCAAGGCTGGCTATCCTGTTTCTCAGTAGAAAATCATTTTTCTTTTCATAAAATGACAGTTATTATTTCTTTAATGTCCACTTTCTACCAATTAGACTTCCTTAAGATATTTTAGTTGTGAGAAATGCTGAAACATTCATATATTAGGGTAATTGACTGACATTTTAAATCTCTTTAGGTGAATACTATATGTTTAAGTTAAGCCTTTATATGACATTGGGTTAGGAATTATATGTGTGTAACTTTTGTTTGATGAAAGAGAAGAGGTAACATAAGTTATTTTATATTTTACTCACTGTTGTAATTCCTGTGCACAGTATTCTGGAATCAGAACTTTTTGTGGCTATAGCTATATATCTATTATTTAATTTATAAACTGAGAAGCCCTATGGCATCTGAGTCATGATATTCAGTCATGATATCTAGCATTTAGTTTATAAACTGAGAAGCCCTGTGGCATCTGAATCATGATATTTAGTGTCCTTATATATGTCTTTAATTTCTCTAATTTTCTGTACGGTCCACTTCTGAAGCAGAGGATTACTGTTCTCAGATGTATGTGTAGAAGACCATTGTCTGTCATCGATTTTTCATAGTGGAAGCCAGTGTTGTTTTGAGACAAAGAAGGGAAGAAAAACTGGATTATGTAACCACAATAAATTTTAGTATACTTTCCTGTAGAGTCTTCCTTAAGCCAGAAATGGTCCCTGCAAACTACACTACCCAAATAGGAGTACAACCAGAACCCTTAAAGTAACTCAAACCTACTGACAAACAGTGCTTGTTTGCCTTACCTCTTTTGTGTATACTACCTTGGATATACTATTTGTATATCTAGAAAGGGGTTAACCTCAAGACAGGAAGGAAATGAGTTGGTGGAGAAGAACTGGATGTATGGCTGGGAATGAGAAAATGGATAGGCAGGTGGAAGTTTGTAGGCATGGGTGTAAGTGGGAGTGGACAATTTTTGTGTAAGTGAAGGTAGCGAATAGAAGGAAAGTATTTTAACAATTTGTTGGTTAGGAGAGGGTAGTTAGTAAATGGATTAAAACTCTCCCACCCTCCTTAAATATTTAGGGTAAACAAGTATTGTTTTCTGTGGATGATATTGGATCCTTGTTTAATCTGACTCTGTTAGAATTGTTAAAATTAGACAGTGTATTTTTATGATTAAAAAGTAGGGCATATTTGTTTTAGAAAATTTGGAAAGACACAGCTTGCCTTTTTTAATATCTTCATATCATATTTTATACCAGTAATATTATATGTGAATTAGAAAAAGGCCCTCTAAATTTTCCTTAAAGGAAAGTTTGCCAAAGAGTTTGTAGTGATAGTTAAGTATACTCTGTAATTTTAACCAAATTGCTCTGACACTTTGCTCTTCTTTACTTGCTAGTATAGCTAGAATTGGATTTCAACAAAAGTCACTGTAACAACATCATATTCTACATGAGACTATTTTATCAATCAGGGTTCTCTAGGGAGGCTGAAACCATACAAGTTATTTGAACAGAGATAATTCTTTAATTGATAAGTAGATATAAACGTGTTAACTAAGTAACATAAAGGGTAAAAGTAGAACTAAGGTATCATGAAGATAGACACAGCAGGAAGCAGCTACTGCCCATAGGGCTCAAGGACCAAAGAGAATGAGAAAACATTAGAAACTTAGAGGAAAGTCCCCGAAGAAATGAAACTTAGACCTTTGAGAAGCCGCAGCATGATTGATGCTGGTATCTGAGCTTGGAAGAGGGGTTCTGTGAGGTTGGGACCCAGACCTCACTGGCTGATACTGATGTCTCTGAGTGGTTTATGATGAAGCTAGTTCTGCAAGTGTTGGACACTGCAAGCTGTTGCTATTGGAAAGACCTGCTGCTATAGGACTGAAGAAGCATTTGCTGGGAAATGCTCTTAACAAAACTTGAAGAATGGATAGGAAGATACAATCTTTTCTTCCTCCTCCAGCCTTTCAGTCCATCTTTAGTGCCTCTTCTTGGGAGAGCTTTATAGAAAGCCAGCTGACAAAGCAGTAATGTGGTTTACAGAGAGTCCTAGTGCAAGCACCAAAAAGCAGAATATGGGTAAGGGTGCTGCACTTTGGAGCTGAGGTGCAGTAATTTAATAGCTGCCATCCTTGTTCCAACAGACTGTTGAGAAATAGGGTATAAGAAAATATTTTCTAAGATGTTTTGCAGCTAATATTTGTGGGATTTGGTAGAGTACTGCATATTGTTTAAAAATCTTAGTAAGTTTTTTAAACCCTGTGAAATTATATTAAAAATTTATGTTAAGATTCACACGTATTTGCAGTCTGAATCTATTCTATTTATATCCCGAGTTTGGGTGGTAAGAGTCTGGATAGTGAGGGATAGCAGGCCATTCACACCTGTTCAGTTCCTGAGTTTTGGATAGCAAGCAAGAGTAAGAGTTCAGAGAGTGGGGCCAGGCACGGTGGCTCACACCTGTAATCCCAGCACTTTGGGAGGCAGAGGCAGGCAGATCATGAGGTCAGGAGTTTGAGACCAACCTGGCCAATATGGTGAAACCCCATCTCTACTAAAAATATAAAAAAATTAGCTGATGTGGTGGCATGCGCCTGTAGTTCCAGCTACTTGGGAGGCTGAGGCAGGAGAATCGCTTGAACCAGGGAGGCAGAGGTTGCAGTGAGCTGAGATCGTTCCACTGCACTCCAGCCTGGGCAACAGAGTAAGACTCCTTCTCCAAAAAAAAAAAAAAAAAAAAAAAAAAAGTTCAGAGAGTGTTGGATATACTTTCTGTTAAACAGTAGAATCTTAAATATTTAGCAGAATCTTTTTGCTTTCTGAGTTTGGATAAGATGGATTTGAAC